AGTATTACTGCTGCCGAGCCACTCTTGGTGGTGAACATTGAAATCCCCCACCCAGAGTACATTTTGTGTCCTCCACCCCCAACCCCCGTCAATGCTTCCTCTAAGTGTTGTTCAACATGGAGGTGTACTGATTCATCAGCTGAGAGAAGACAATACATGGTAGCAGGAGGTTTCCTTCCACACATTTAACCTGAAGCCGTGAGACTTCATGAGGTCTGGAGTCAGTGTTGAGGACTCCCAGAGCAACTCCCTCCCGGCTGTATACCACTGTGCCACCACTTCTGCTTCTGCCAGTGGGACAGGACATATGCAGGGATGGTGATGGTGGTGTCTACGACATTGTCTGTAAGGTATGATTCTGTGACTATGTCAGGCTGTTGCTTGAATAGTCTGTGAGACAGCTCTTCCAAGTTTGGCAGTAGCCGCCAGATGTCAGTAAGAAGGATTTTTCCGCTGTTGTCTAGGAATGCCAGGTGATCCATCCAGGAGGTTTATTTCTTTGAGACTTTGTAGCGATTGGTACAACTGAATGGCTTGCTAGGCCATTTCAAAGGACACGTGGGAATCAACCACATTGTTGTTGGTCTGGACTCACATGTAGACTAGGTGGGGGTGACAGTTTCATAGAACATAGAACATAGAACAGTACAGCACAGTACAGGTCCTTCGGCCCATGATGTTGTGCCAAACTTTTACCCTAAACCTCAGGTCTATCTAACCTCCACCCCTACCTTATACTATCATCCATCCCTAAAGGATGTTAATAAATGGGCTTTTCCAACAATCGATGATGGATTCACAGTCATCAGTAGATTCTTAATTCCATATTTTCTTAAATTGAATTCAAATTCCACCATCTGCCATGGCGGGATTCAAACCTAGGTCCCCGGAACATTAGGTCAATTGTTGGACTAATAGTCTGGCAATAATACCACAAGGCCATCACATCCCCTAATTGGCAAATGGGCATGAAACAGCAGGATAAGGGGTTCTTTTTCAGGTTGGCAATCTGTGACCAGTGGTGTTCCATAGGGATCAGTACTGGGACTGCAACTGTTTGCAAAATATGCGTAAGGGCTGCCCTGACAATATGTTAGTGACTTGGATGAAGGAAGTGAATGTACTGAAGACAAATTTGCAGAAAACACAAAAACAAGTGGAAAAGCAGGCTGTGACAGAGATGTTGATATGTGAAGTAAGTGGGCAAAAAGTTGATAAATGGATGATGATGTGGGAAAATGTGAAGTTGTTCATTTTGGAAGGGAGAACAAAAGAACAAAGTGTTATTTAGATGGAGAGTGAAGAAATCTGCAACATCCTGGGGAGATTGTACAGGAAACACATAAAACTAGCACACAGGTATAGCAGGTAATCAGGAAGGCTAATGGAATGTTGGCCCTTATTTCAAGGAGGTTGGAGTATGACAGTAGGGAAATCTTATTGCGACTGTACAAGGTCCTGGTGAGACCACATCTGGAGTACTGTGAGCAGTTTTGGTCCCCTTATTTAAGGAAAGATTATTTCATCGGAGGTAGCTCAGAAAAAGTTCACTAGGATGATCACTGCTATGGAGGGAATTGTCTCATGAGCAAAAGCTGAACATGTTGGGACTCTACTCAATCTGTTTGGAAGAATGAGAGACAACCTCATTGAAACATATAGGATTCTTAAAGGGCTTGACAGGGTAAATGCTGAGAGGACGTTTCCTGTCATGGGAGAGTCTAGTACCAGGGGGCACAGTCACAGAATTAAGGGATGCTAATTTAAGATTGAGTCGAGGATGAATTTCTTCTCTCAGAGAGTTGAGAGTCTTTGGAATTCCTTGCCACTGAAAGCTGTAAGGAAAGAGTTCTTGTGCATTTTAAGGCTGAAATGGATAGATTCTTGATCAGTCGGGAAATCGAGAGTTATGGGGAAGTGGACGTGAGGAATGTCAGATTAACTGTGATCCTACTGAATGGTGGAACAGGCTCAAGGGGCTGAATGGCCTAGTACTGTTCCTATTTGTTATAGTCTTACTGTAGTCTTAATTTACTTGTGAAAGTTGTGTGCATTAATTATATAAAGCTCCAGAATCAGTGTTCAGTCAGATGGATCTTCTAGCATCCTGATCCCACAGGACATAGATTATTCAATAAACTGCGTGGATCCTGGAAACAGGAATTCCTCATTAGGAATCTTCATTAGCTTCACTGGCAATGTTCAGGAAGTTAACTGATGATGACTAGATCAGTCTGGGGAGGGAGGCAAGCTGGGCCTCATCAGAAATGGAGAGCTTGGAAGTGGGAGGTGGGGGGGTCGGGAGCGGCAGTGTTAGTTCAGTCGTGGGCTGAGTAGAGTCGGGGGCCTGAGAGTTTGGAGATTACAAACCGTGTGTGGATGGAGGGTTAGGGTAGGTTCTGTGGAGGCCCGATGGTGGGCTGTGGATTATAAATCTGGTGAATTTCTCAGGATTTGTTTAAGGGGATGGGGAGGTCAGAAAGCTGGAGTTGAGATTTGAATCTCTGGTGGAGAGCTGGGTGAGGGTTTGGGGAGATGGTGATGAGGGAAAGACTGTGGGGGTGGGTGGTTGGTTTCGGGGCTGGTTATGAAGCTGTATATAGGGTTTGAATGGTGGGGGCCGGATACAGACTGACACCTGGATTCAATAAGTATGTAGGCACTTACCTCCTGTACCCATTCACCTTAAGAAGTCTGACTAACAGCCGTTAAAGTTCAAAACCCGAATGACAATGAAGCATTCGTCTCATTATCATATCTAAAGTTCCACCTTGCTGGATTAGATTCTTGACGCATCCACCTTCTGATCTCAATTTAAATTAGAGATTTGCTCGAGGTTGTTGTGACTTTAGCCACCTTGACCCAGTGATAATTTTAAAGTTTAACCCGTTTTGATTGTCTGATATGGTGACATTCTTGTGTGGCAGGTGGGAACTGAACCCAGGTCTTCTGGCACTGTGTAAGTACACCAGCACTAAAGGGGCATGAGATAACAAGGTGTAGAGCTGGATGAACACAGCAGGCCAAGCAGCATCAGAGGAGCAGGAAGGCTGACGTTTCAGGCCTAGACCCTTCTTCAGAAATGGGGGAGGGGATGGGGGTTCCGAAATAAATAGGGAGAGAGGGGGAGGCGGATAGAAGATGAATAGAGGAGAAGATAGGTGGAGAGGAGACAGACAGGTCAAAGAGGCAGGGATGGAGCCAGTAAAGGTGAGTGTAAGTGGGGAGTTAGGGAGGAGATAGGTCAGTCCAGGGACGATGGAAAGGTCAAGGGGGCGGGATGAGGTTAGTAGGTGGGAGATGGGGGTGGGGCTTGAGGTGGGAGGAGGGGATAGGTGGGAGGAAGGACAGGTTAGGGAGGCGGGGACGAGCTGGGCTGGTTTTGGGATGCGGTAGGGGGAGGGGAGATTTTGAAGCTTGTGAAGTCCACATTGATACCATTGGGCTGCAGGGTTCCCAAGCGGAATATGAGTTGCTGTTCCTGCAACCTTCGGGTGGCATCGTTGTGGCACTGCAGGAGGCCCAGGATGGACATGTCGTCTGAGGAATGGGAGGGGGAGTTGAAATGGTTCGCGACTGGGAGGTGCAGTTGTTTAGTGCGCACCAAGCGTAGGTGTTCTGCAAAGCGGTCCCCAAGCCTCCGCTTGGTTTCCCCGATGTAAAGGAGGCCACAACGGGAACAGCAGATGCAGTATACCACATTAGCAGATGTGCCAGTGAACATCTGCTTGATGTGGAAAGTCTTCTTGGGGCCTGGGATGGGGGTGAGGGGGGAGGTGGAGGAGCAGGTGCAGCACTTCCTGCGGTTGCAGGGAAAAGTGCTGGGGGTGGTGGGGCTGGAGGGGAGTGTGGAGCGGACAAGGGAGTCACGGAGAGAGTGGTCCCTCCGGAAAGCAGATAAGGGTGGGGAGGGAAAAATGTCTTTGGTGGTGGGGTCGGATTGCAGATGGCAGAAGTGTCGGAGGATGATGCGTTGGATCCCGAGGTTGGTGGGGTGGTACGTGAGGACGAGGGGGATGCTGTGTTGGTTGTTATTGCGGGGAGGGGGTGTGAGGGATGAGTTGCGGGAAATGCGGGAGACACAGTTGAGGGCGTTCTCGACCACTGGGGGGGGAAGTTGCGGTCCTTGAAAAACGAGGACATCTGAGATGTACAGGAGTGGAATGCCTCATCCTGGGAGCAGATGCAGCGGAGGCGAAGGAATTGGGAATAGGGGATGGCATTTTTGCAGGAAAGTGGGTGGGAGGACGTGTATTCTAGGTAGCTGTGGGAATCGGTGGGCTTGAAATGGATATCGGTTTCTAGGTGGTTGCCAGAGATGGAGACAGAGAGGTCCAGGAAGGAGAGAGAGGTATTAGAGATGGTCCAGGTGAACTTAAGGTTGGGGTGGAAGGTGTTGGTGAAGTGGATGAACTGTTCGAGCTCCTCGTGGTAACACGAGGCAGCACCGATTATAGTCATCAATGTAATGGAGGAAGAGGTGGGGTTTAGGGCCAGTGTAGGTACGGAAGAGGGATTGTTCCACGTAACCTACAAAGAGATCCCTTTCCCTCCCCCATTTCTGAAGAAGGGTCTAGGCCTGAAACGTCAGGCTTCCTGCTCCTCTGGTGCTGCTTGGCCTGCTGTGCTCATCCAGCTCTACACCTTGTTATCTCAGATTCTCCAGCATCTGCTGTTCCTGCTATCACTAAAGGGGCATCTTTTGTTTTCAAAACAAACCACTGCAGTTACCCAGGCCATCTTTCACTTCATTTGGAGGTCAAAGATGGACCAAGTCCAAAGGGACATTATGTGTAAATAACTGGAAAATAGGGGAGAAAAAACATACTCAATGCTACCCATGTGGCTGAATCAAGCTGTGTGTAGACCCTCGGTACGCAAACACCAAATGTCACTACTTACTGAGGTTCTACCTCTCCACAGTGTGACGAAGGATGGGACTGGCCTCGTTGTCGTGGAACGCTCCAAGTAGTTGGACCGTCCTGTACCACCTGTCCTTCATGGAAAAATTTGTGAAGGAAAGCACCTCTGACCACAAGTCCATCAGGAGGAAGTGGTCAGCAAGTAGCGACCTCGAGACCCTTCGGGAAAAGGAGAGGGCAGATCTTGTCGAGTGGTTCCCTGTGCAGACTGCCAAAGTCATTCGGCAGAATGCCTCCTCACCAGAGCTCTCCAACAAGCACCAGGACATTGCTCAGCTGGTGGTGAGAACCTGTGAGATCCTTCATGTATGCCTGGGCTGTCTGCGCCACTGCGCTCTGCCTTCGAAGTGGCTGCAGAGGGGATGGAACTGTCACACATCTCCTTCTGGAATGTGCCTAAGCGAAGGAAGTCTGGAGAGGAATGCAGTGGTTTTTGTCAAGGTTCATCCCAAACAGCTCAGTGATGGTGCTCTCTACGGTCTGTTGCCTGGGACACACACCAAGACAAACATCAACTACACCTGGAGGACCATCAATGCGGTGAAAAACGCACTTTGATCTGCCCAAAACTTGCTGGTCTTCCAGTTGAAACAGTTGACCCCGACTGAGTGTTACAGACTGGCACATTCTGAGGTCCAGGACTACGTGCTGAGGGACGCACTAAAGCTTGGGATAGCCCCCGCCAAGGCACAGTGGGGAAAGACCACCGTGTAAGGTCCTTCTGCCAAAGCATAACAGGGTTCAGTCCAGTAATTGGACTCTCCCTAATGCTCAGCTATATGCCAAGAATTTAATTGTAAATATAGAGAAAGCTGAACCCCAATATTTCTTTGCTTCTCTGTAAGTAGTGAGAGTATAAATCCAAATGGCTTCATTAACT